TTGTACTTCTCATTGTTGCAACAGGTCCACCTGAATCCTCAAACGACTTGTTTTTCCCTCATCTCCTCCACAAGTTATACTGACATCAAATATAGTGAAAGCGGGGGAGCCATGTCCTTTTGTGGTCCCTTGGACACAGGGACTCCTGTTTCTCCCATGTCTTGTGTGTGTGTGTGTGAGAGAGAGAGAGAGAGAGAGAGAGAGAGAGAGGGGTGAGGGAAGGAGAGAGGGGGGGAGGGAAGGAGAGAGAGAGAGAGAGAGAATATGCCAGTTTGGGAGTTTAAACCAGGGCCTGGGCACTGTCTCTGAACTTTTATGCTCAAGGGTAGCACTCTACCACTTGAACCACAGTGTCACTTCTGGCATTTTAGTAGTTAATTGGAGATAAGAGTCTCACAGACTTTCCTACCAGGCTGGCTTTGAACCACAATCCTCAGATCTCAGACCCTTGAGTAGCTAGGACTGCAGGCATAAGCCACCAGTGCCTGTCTTCTTTCTTGTTTTCTTTTCTTTCTTTTTGTGCCAGTCCTAGGGCTTGAATTCAGAGCCTGTGCACTATCCTTGAACTTCTTTTGTTCAAGGCTAGTGCTCTACCACTTAAGCCACAGCTTCACTTCTGGCTTTTGGGTGGTTAATTGTGTCTCTTGGATACAATTAGTGTATGTCCAGAGTCTCACTAACTTTCCTGCCCAGGGTAGCTTTGAACCACGGTTCTCAGGTCTCAGCCTCCTGAATAGCTAGGCTTATAGCCATGAGCCACCAATGTCCAGCTTTGGACACCCATTTCTTAGAAAAAGTGGTGGTGGTAAGAGCTCACTTAGTTCCTGTGTCCTGGCCACCCTTCTCTTATCATCTATCCCTTCTCATTATGCCTGGGCATCATGGAGGGAGAAAAGGGCATGGTAATAATTTTCTTGGGGTTGAGAATGTGGCTTAATTGGTAGAGTGATTGCCTAGCATACACGAAGCCCTGAGGGAAGAGGGCACTTCTTGTCCTTGTCTTTCCCCACACTCCCCTAGAGTAGGGAGCTGGCACTGAGGAGATCAGGCCTCTCTCCTTGGTCAGACCAGGCTCTGCCCTGCCTGCTGCGTCAGCCAATTCCCATTATACGACCAAGTAGGATTTAGACTCTCTCGAAGCATTAGTGCTGGCTGCCTCTGCAGAGTGACCAGAGCCAGCAGATGCCAGCTTCCCTAGCCCTTCTAGCCAGTTCCAGAAGGTTCCATAGCCACTTCCTTTTTAGTCACCTAGCCTACTAGGCTCCTTCAGCAATCGTCCCTCCCTCCCTCCCTGAGAGCTTTAAAAAACCATTGATTCTCAGACTCCACCACTGGCAACTCGCATTTAGTCTTCTAAATGATCTGCAATTCTATTCTAGAAAAGATCCTCCCAGAACATCTGGGAGCCAGTGGCTCACATCTGTAATTCTGGCTAGTGAGGAGGCTGAGATCTCAGGATCATGGTTTGAAGCCAGCCCAAGCAGGAAAGTTTGTGAGACTCTTATTTCCAGTTAACTACCAGAAAATCAGAAGTGGAGCTGTGGTTCAACTGGTATAGCACTAGCCTTGAGGGAAAAAGCTCAGGGACCATGCACAGGCCTTAAGTTCAAGCCCCATCATGGCAAAAAGAAGGAGGAGGAGGAGGAGGAAGAGGAAGAAGAGGAGGAGGAGGAAGAAGAAGAAGAGGAGGAGGAAGAGGAGGGGTAAGTATGGTGCTGTACACCATAATCCCAGCCCTCATGAGGGGGAGGCAAAACCATATCTCAAAAACACTTAAATAAGCTAGGTGCCAGTGGCTCATGCCTGTAATCCTAGCTATTCAGGAGGCTGAGATCTGAGGATCATGGTTCAAAGCCAGGCCAGGCAGGAAAAAGTCCATTAGACTCTTATCTCCAATAAACCACTCAGAAAACCAGAAGTGGCAATTTGGCTCAAGTGGTAGAGCGCTAGCCTTGAGCTGAAGAGCTGAAGAACAGCGCCCAGGTCCAGAGTTCAAGACCCATGACTGACCAAAAAAAAAAAAAAAACAAACCAACAACCCACAAAACAAATAGGAAGCGGTGCTGTGGCTCAAGTGGTAAAGCACACACCTTGAGCTGAAATGTGGAGGGATAGTGCCCAGGAGGCCCAGAGTTCAAGCCCCACAACCAACAAAAAACAAACAAACACTTAAATAATAAAATGGAGCAATATTTAATAATATGTATAGTAAAAGTTATGTGAATATGTTCTATTGTCTCTCAAAATATCTGCGTGTGTGCATGCACATGTACAAGTACCAATGTTGGAGCTTGAATCCA